GATGTTATGTTCCCTCTCATCAACAGCAAGACGGGAAAAAATTGCCCAACGTTTTTTTCTTTTCTTGACTTTTACAGCTGGAAGACAGCAGAAAGGTTATTTCTCGACGCAATGGAGAAGATTAAAGCCATCGGGAATGAGGTGACAGCTTATTCTTCCTTTTTCTTTCATTGGTAGAATAATTGAGGCTCATGTCTTTAAACATGACTTGTTCTCTTTAAAAAACACTAATGTGTGCTTTTTGCTCCTCACCATTTATTTTAAGGTTACTGTGGACAAGTGGGAGCCTTTACTAAACAACTTGGGGCACGTGTGTCGGAAACTAAAGTAAGGAACCAACTGTACTTGGCACAGACTACGAATTATTTTGACTATACTTTGAATAAAATGCTTCATGTTAATGCATTAAATCTTTGTCATTTTCAGACAGTTATATATAAGAAAAATACATTTATGACTTAATTAACTTTTGAAACAGGTCAAATTGACCCAAAGACAACAGAATGGTTGAAGTGTGGGACTTCTGTTTGTTTTGTTCTTTAAACTTCATATCTCTTTGAAATGTATCGCCCCATAATGATGTTCCTTTGGGAAATCCTTACAAAATGAGCAAAGTTTAGACATTTTTTTCTAATCATAACTGTCGACTGTGTGTATTTTGTGGACTGTGGACACATGTTCTATCACTTAACACCCGGCTGGAAACGTTTAGTTGAGTTCCGCCACATCCCCTAAAACGTCCCCTGATTCATTTTGGGTGATTCTGTCAGTAACAGCTGTTCACATTGTCACGTTTAATCATGCAGAAAGTACGACCAGGCTCTGGAGTACCACCGCCAAGCACTGGTGCTGATCCCCCAGCACGCCTCCACTTACGCCGCCATAGGATATGTGCACACCCTCATGGGGGACTTTGAAAGTGCTATTGACTACTTTCACACAGTGAGTTCCTCATCTTCATTCACAATTTGAAAAAGAAAAAAAACTGCTAATTGTATTTTTTTGGATAACTCATAGAATGGAAAGTAGACAAAGTGTTAATAAATAAATAGCAACTAATGCCTTCACGTGAAAATTAATAATGAAAAAGCAGAACATCAGTTTTTATGGAAAAACCATGTAGATGGATGCACAGGAGTGTTGTGATGCTTCTGATTTGTGCGATTTGGTACATTTTTCAAAAGACCGGTATTCTGAACATTGTGTTTCTGTTCTATTCTGTCTGCCACAGGCACTCGGACTGAAAAGGGACGACACTTTCTCTGTGACGATGCTTGGCCACTGCATCGAAATGTACATCGGCGACACAGACGCCTATATCGGTCAGTTTTATCATGGGACAATTGCAATGAAAAAATTCATCTTTGGCTCTTATCGAATAATATAGGAGAAGAATATAGAATCTCCCATATTATTGTTCAGGATTGTTTTTTGTTCCATTTTAAAAGCAACAAGGTATTTCAGGAAGAATTTAGATCCAGTCAAGTTCATTTTCACAGGCCTGTCAGTGGTCAGTACTTTATAGATGTCCAGGAGCATTTTCTGTGTCATTTCTTTTAATTACGTCCTGCAGCATTTCTATAAACTCTGTGTTTATAATCAAGATACTCAAATATGTTTAGCATGTAGTTGTTACCTGAAACGATTTAGGGTACAGCAGGCTCAAAGTTAATTTTCGAAAATATACTTCTGGTGTAATTTTTTGTCTTTTGAAACATTACGGTAAAGCAGTAAACATAGACCTGGTTGGCCTTTTTGTTTTTTCAATCCTTGAGTTAATATAGTGCTAAAACTGCCATTATGTAATACTTTCACACAAAAAAAAGGAAAAGGTGTCATGCAGGTGTCAGTTGCATTATAATTATTTTCCTGAATTGTTTCAGTTCCAATTTCGAAAGATCACAACTTATTAATTTCTTCTTTTTTTGTTAATAATTTCCCATTTAATTGTGTATCAGTTTAAGCACTTCCATTCTGCAGAAACTTTTACTTTGCTATAGGATAAATATTTGCAAAAGCAACCTAAAAAAAGTGTGTAACGGTGTGTCAAAAGTGCTTCTTGTACCTTCCGTTAAGGTTGAAGGTGTTTTCATCAGAATTTCTGCCTCCAGCATGTTTCCCCTCTCCTCACAGACAGTTCTCTGTGAGGAGAATCTGTTAGATCGGAAAATCTTTTCTTCCTCGTTGTATTTTTAATCTGTTCCCAGTCATCTAACCCTACAAATAATTTGTACCTTCGCCTGGAAGTTGCAAGTCTCCCTTCGGTGGTTGTTTTCATGAAGTCGATAAACCGCTATCTTATTTGTTTGGTAGTGAGGCACAGAGTTTCAAAGAGAAACAATTTTATTTGTGTGCAAAGCCATTCCAGAACCCACTCTTGTTTTTTCCTCTTCAATTTGGCCAGTTGGACTTATTTTCAAAGTTGCGACATCTTCCCTGAGACAAATGAAGGTTTACATCAACAGCTCACCCGGTTGTTGTCATTTTGTTTGTTTGAAGGCACCGACATCAACGATAAGATGCGAGGCAGCCTGAACACTCCGGCGCTGATGAAGATGCTGAACACGTCGGAGCCCGCGGACATCCTGGCCACGCCGCGGTCCGAGGAGGCCAGCGTCACGCCGCTGGAAACGCCGGTGTCCAGCCAGGACAAGATGATGCTGGAGACCCCCCTCCGGCTCTCGCTGACCCTGGAGTGCGACATGTACGAGAGCGACATGATGTTAGACACCCTATCGGACACCAGCACGTGATGCCACCCCATCGGGAGACGGGACTGTTTTTAGGAAGGGTTGTCGCACATGCACACATCCAGGCCCAAGAATTTGAACCCACAATTTTCAGCAATCCTCCACCATGCGGATTCTCCCTGCTTTGCATGACATGGTGGTCAAAGAAAAGAAAAAAAGTGATAGGACATTTCAAACAGCATACACCGTCCGCTCAGCGTTGCATCATAAATGTGCAGGAATGCACGTTAAAGAGGAAAATGAACACAGGTTGTCTTCCAGATATGGATTTCTGTTTAGTTTTTGTTTTTTAAACCTTGGGCTTAAACATTGGGAAAATGTGGCAGAACGATCCTCGATTGAACAGAACAAACACAGCCACACAGCTCACGTAATAAGTTTAAAACTGCAGTACAGTCACTTTTTACTGCCGGTGGCAGAACCCTCCATGTTGTTTAACCTGTGGATTTTCACCCTGAATACGGAGCCAGCTAATTCCAAGCAGCTTCTGTGAATGAACATCTTTGGCTATTCCTACAATAAACCGTGCATTTATCTTAAACACCTACCACATTTTTTTATTGGTGTTCTCTGTTTTTTTTATTTTTAAATTGTCCAAGTATTGTTTGATTTACTGTGAATTGCACAATGTGTGTTGTAACAGTAAAACTGGGAAGCTGCCATGTGACATTTTTAATCATCCAATGGACGAGTTATGCTTGGGATCTGCAGTTTAGGAGGTAGAGCGATCAGGTTCTAACTGTAAGGCTTCAAACCACAGCTTTCACAGGTCACGTCGGCAGTTTTTTCTGGGCAAGATGTTTGACCCTGATTCAAACTTCTAACTATTGCTCCTCGTTTGTGTAAAAGCATATCGTTTATTCCGTACCTTTGAAAAAACACCAGTGAAACCATGCATGCCCAGGAGAAAACACAGGGTGGATCGACCACCCTGCTGAGATTCGAACCATCCAACCGTCCATTTCCGTCCGCTAATGCAAGGCTCAGCAGGAAAACCCAGACATCCCAGATATTTCTCAGCTCCTTATGGGAAAAATCGCAGTTTTCCCAACGATTAATCTTTCCATCTGGTCCTACATCTACTCTTAGGTCTTCGCCCAAAGATTTAAAAACATCATATTTCTGATGAGTTCCTACTACTAATATTTTATATAGTGAGTCATTTTATGTTTGTTGAGTTAGTTTTCTCACACTGTTGATAATGATTGTTACATTTGCTAAACTTTATGGTGTGAAATTAGATTTTATACTAAAATATTCCTTCGTGGTTAAAAATATTTATTTTCTTATTTAATCGTATTCAAATGTAACAGAGTCACACTGTAAACTAAAGAGGCACAGACTTAACCCACCTTTTAAGCATTTTATGTAAGGGGGGGACAACACCCTCTGCCTAGGAGCATCACTCTCAAATGTCATTCTCTGTGTCAGAGTTGTGTGTGAGGTGTCAGCCTCCATCCATTGGCAGTAGTCGCCTACCGGGTTTCGTGTCTAATGGGAAATACTGAGGTAACTTGAAGAGATACGGGTTGCACTTCGTCTAAATCCACCGGTATTTATCCACATGAAAGGCTCCCCCGGGACATGGACATCTGCTCAACGATAGTTCCCACCCAAAAGAATTCTGTGTCCACACCAGAGAGACACCGGCTGTGTGTTTGGGACCGAAGGCACTGGAAACTTTTCTCCATGGTGAGTTCACGGTAGGTTCGTAAAATTCTTCGATATTTCACTTCACGGTTTAAAGCGCACGGTGTGTTGCCAGTTTAGTTCCGTGCACTGCCCTCCTAGGCACCTTTTCCCAGTTATAAGTTCGTTTTGTTTACTTTTTTTTCTTGGTTCCCTGTAGAGAAGTCCACGGGTGGACTGTATGGTTCCCGGGACCTCCACCCACCTGATGCCCCGCAGCCCCACCCGGATCCCGCACTGTGCTCCCGGGGGGGCGGGACCTTTAAAACCCCATCCAATGTACCCCCAGAAAAATAGCATTGGTACCCATATACCATATTCACTTATGTAAAAACTTTCATTTTACCAAATGCTTGTATGTGTGTGTTTGTGTGAAAATGATCCATATCTCATACGTATTCAAATTTGATTGAAAATTAACCTATTCTCACGTATTTTTAAACTGTTCATTTCTCTCCTCTTGCTTAAAAGCACAAAACAATACATCGCGACACATGTCACAAATTAGATTTTAAAATAGGAATGTTGCGACACCCCTCATTAACTCTCGCGAGAACACACTAGCTTAGAGCCGCCGAAGAGAGGGAGATGGAAAGAAATGAGGTCTGAAAAGGACCAGATGACCGTGGGTAAGGAGAAAAGTGTCGTCGAGTTGCAGTTTAGGGACATACCAGCGGACCAAGAAAATACTCTCGGTAACCAAAAGCCAAAAGAAGAGAAGAAAGAGGTTTTTACAAAGGTAGGTGGTCGTGCTTTTTGCGATGTGTCGCATTGTTTATGCTGCGTGGAAAACCGACATGGAGGAGAACCGGAGGGAGGTGTTTCAGGACCGCGGACAGCGGCGTTTAAGGGCAGGACTCACGCTCATCCTGAGCCTCCACATTTAATAACAGCCCCTTTCTCTTTACCTCCTACAATTATTCATCATAAGTTATTTTATTTTGACAATTTACCTCATTAAGCTGTTGTTTGAAGGACTGAAGATAACATTGAGAGCAGAAGACTCGCAGTACCCGTCCGGTCCATATTCATGGCTCATAAAATCTATTCACATCCTAGTTTTACGGCTTAAAGTAATAATAAACCCAAATGTAATAGGTCTCACGAATCTGATTAATGCTGTATCCAATGATAATAACAATGATATGTATTAGGGTCATTATATAACATGACATAAACATTGATTATCCGCTGGTCTCAGAGCTTAAAATGATGGAGTTGATTAATTTATTTGTTTATTCAGCTTATCATTACTATAAGGAAGGTTTGAAGTCTAGACCATCTTATTACCTGATCTCACGATGGTGTTATGCCCTCTTCAATTCAGAGTGCTGTCTGCAGAGCCCGGTCTCTCAGTTTATTGTCACCTCCGATTATCACAGTTAAGATATTTCTGGAAGGAATAACCTCAGACTATGACCCAAAAGTCACAGACAAGGCAACGAGTGTTTCTAACCTTGCATAATGAATGATGCAAGGTTGATAGGCACATTGAGAGCACATTGTGTGACATATCCAAATGTGACACATTTAAAATTGACCATGACAGCAACCAGGACTATATATTTATGATTCTGCTTGTCCACAGCCTCCCACTTACACACGTCATACCCTGGAGGAAAGCCAAAGTTCTGGAGATTTGCATTATGGATGATATTTCAAGATGCGATCATAATAACATTTATGTCAAACCAGTCATAAACACAATGAAATGATGCAATTTGCTCACGAAGTCTCACAGTATTCCAAGAACCGACACGACTCCAACATAAATGTTCCTGATACATTGGCAAGGGTCCAGTTAGTATTCCAGTGAATCAGCTAGTGCCCCACGAGTCTTACGTCCGTTAAGACTGTTCCAGGCTTTTAACATCTTCATCAGATGTTCACATTTATCACATTTCCTTGATCATAACTTCAGTTAGCATGCGTGAAGGACCATATCTGGTCAAAATAGCAGGAATTCTAAAGAGTTAAAGGTAACTTTAGAGTAACCACTTCTCACAATGTTATATTAGAAAGTAGAAGGATCAATTTAAGTTCCAGAAGCATTAAATATGCGGCTTTGGAGCTTTTTTGTCTCCTTTTTTCTTCAAAACATCACTCTCAGAATCTATAGATGGCATTTGAGGCCTGCCACTCTCCTTATTGTTGTAGATATACTAGTCCATGCTTGTCAGACTTTGATAAAGCTGATCAAGACCTTTGCACAGAGGAAGAAATTAATTCATATATAAAGCCATTTAGCATAATATATCCATCCTCCTAAGTGTATTTTGTGATGTTTACAGGTGGTGATTCGAAGGCTACCACCCAACTTGTCAAAGGACCAGCTAGAGGAACAACTCAGTCCACTTCCATCCTACGACTATTTTGAATTCTTCCAAGCAGATCAGAGGTATATCACTTTGAAAACTTTACTAAACAAAAATGCTGCCCCCCCTCTGATGAAAATGAATGACTTCTCATGGTTCTCATTGTTTGTCTTCCCAGTCTCTATCCCCACCTATTCTCCAGAGCATACATCAATTTTAAAAACACTGATGATATCCTGCTGTTTCGGGATCGATTCGATGGCTACGTCTTCATAGACAACAAAGGTATTTCTAATTATTTTCAAACTCATATTTGGTGCCCAGAGGCAGGCATGAAGCTTATCACAAAGCACAGCGTATTCTACTCTATGATAAGAGAACAGGATCGTGTTTGCTTTGTAGCTTCAGGACAGATTTTATGGACAAAGATAGCTTTTGTTGTCATTGTGATTATTTGATAGCTGCTCTGTTGAGGGATTAACTCCATTTTATTCCAATATTTACTCAGGCCAGGAGTATCCCGCAGTGGTAGAGTTTGCCCCGTTTCAGAAGATTTCCAAAAAGAAGCTGAAGAAGAAGGATGGCAAAGCAGGGAGCATTGAAGAAGGTACCGAAACACAGAACATGAGGATGACTCGAATCGTGCAATTCAAACATAATATCACCGGGGTTTAATATGCACAGAAAAGCTAGTTTTCAAGCTTAACGTGCTTCAATTAATTGATTGAATTAACCCGCTTTGTCTGTGAAATCCATGCAGACCCTGAATACAAGCGATTTTTGGAAAATTACTCCTGTGATGAAGAGAAGTCTATGGCCAACCCAGAGATTCTCCTGGGGGAGATAGAGGCCAAAACCAGAGAGCTCATAGGTGCACAATCGTTTCAAGATAATCTAAAAAACACTTGTTTTTTTATTAGGACCAACATTTCCTCTACGGCTGAGTCACAGTTATCTTCTCCCTGTTTTTCTTTCAGCCAAACGGACGACACCTCTGCTGGAATACATCAAAAACAAGAAAATTGAGAAACAGGTGAGAAAAACACCTGTTCAAAACGGTTTTCAAAATGTAAACCTGATTTATTTCCTGTCACATGACTCGCAACAGAGAATAAGAGAAGAGAAGAGAGAGGAGAGGAGAAAAAGAGAACTTGAAAAGAAACGACAAAGAGAGGAAGAAAAGCGAAAGAGACGGGAGGAGGAGAGGCGCAAGCGAAAAGAGGCAGAGAAGCAGAAGAAACTGTCGGACAAAGAAATTAAGATTAAGGTGACTCTTGGTCATAGCAAAACCGCGTAGTGCCAACTGTTTTGTCTTGTCATTTGAGTTTTTCATGATCACCTGCGTTTACAGCTCCTGAAGAAGAGTGATAGGGATGATGATGTGGATTCAGACCGGATAAAGGACAAAAGCGAGAGCGGCGAGGCGGACAGGGTGAAGTGGGAAAAAGCTGGAGGACAAATGAAGTCGAAAGAACCAAAAGAAAAGTAAGCAACGTTAAGCTTTTAATTTAAGCACGAAAAAATGAGTAGTTTAAAAAAAAAAATCTTTTCACCGGCGTAATCTTTCTTTGGATTTTCACTGAACACGTTTTAATTGGATACAGTGGGGAAAGAGTTTCTACAAGATCTCATTATAATAAGAAAAAAAATCCAGTTTTTGACTCAAAAACTGGTTGAAAAGGGGCATTTTATGGATTCAACAAAACTTTAGGAACTCTTTTGATAGGGTTCAAAAAAGCAAAATTACAAAAATGCTCCAAGGAACTCTCCATTAAAAATAACTTTATGATATATTGGCTTAGAAAATGCCAACACTTTTCTGCCTTTTACCCTTCATTGGGGAGTCTTATAGACTTATAGAAGATCCTGGTGCCACTGTAGTGGAATTCTAAACCTTTAACGGAACTCTCCAACAGCAGTACCACTCACACATGAAAGCCAGAAAAAGGACTGCTGACAACTACATAAATAAATGCAGAAGTACAACAAAATACGGCATGGTGTCACCCACATCGTTCCTGCATTGAGTCAAAATACAAGATTGAACAAAACCATCTAACTGAGATCAATATGGCTCACTGAAAAGAAAAAAAAAAGAAAGGTAAAAAATCCTCTTCCAAAAAACTTTAATCTTACTGTGCATAGTCAAAGTCTACTGTAGTTTGATGGAAAGGTGCAAAACAAACCATACGAAAAAAACAAAAGGGAATATTTACTAGATGTATGAATCATTACAAATCAATTTAATGTTTTTTATATATTAATAAAATAATTTAACCCCCTCAACATTAAGAAAGAATCAAGGACTGGACTCAAGTCTTTTTTTCATAGATTCCTGGACACTTTGGGGTGAAAGTAAGATTTAGCTGAAAGACGTCCTGATGCAATCCATTATTTAGCATTACAAACCAGGTTTTAGAGAGACTTTTAAAAGGTTTGCTTGCTCTATCCTATGCAACGATAGTTTACTGAGTGACACTTGTGCTCTAACGGAATGGTTTAGCCATGGTAAAGCACTTACCACCCAAATGAATAGCTTACGTATCCAGTGTTGAATGCCTTAAACTAAACCTGCATGTACGTTTTTGGGAGGAGATCCAACTGAGAGCCGAATTGCGACGGTAAATGTCATCACAACCCTTATATTTTATTCTGACCACCAGAGGTCAGCCCGAGAGCGACAAGGAGCAGAGAGAGCAGCACGGGCGCAGGCAGAGGGACAAAGATCACCGCGGGAAAGACGAGGATCGGAAAAGGCAGCAGCACCACTACGAGTTTGACAAGTTCATGCGGCGGAAAGACGAGACCAAGTGGGGGAAGGGTTACTGCCAGGATCGGGCCAAGAAAGAGGGGCATCACCACAGTTACTCCTACGTTCCCGACAGTGGGGAGAAAATGGGCAAGGAGGACAGGGACGAGCTGAGTAACAGAAAGGAACGCCTCCGAAACAAGGTGAGCGAGAAGGTGAGCATGAGATTAAGGAGAAGGTGATTGATTATTGCCTTTTCTTTAATAATGTAGACCTAGAAATGTGATGCAATGCTTTCAAATGCCAACTCACTCAATACACTATGTTTTCTTGTTTTTAAAGATTTACTCAGATTTTTCTTGCACTTTAAGAGCCAACGCCCCATTTTTATTCTATCTATGTGTAAATAAATCAAAAGATTTAAACATATTAGTAATTTCATGCATATCAATGGAGAAACCCCTGACCTACATGGTTGCTGCACCCTAATGACAGCGCAGTGGTTTGCGGTCAACTGAAAGTGCCTCTAGTGTCTGCCAGAGATCGTTTTTGGCTGCAACTCTGAACTTCAAAGACATCGTAAAAGTCATAAGAGTGCGCTGAACCTCACTGCTTTCCAGTATCAGCTTCAGTTTTTACCATCAGGGGTTGCCTTTTGCCTCAAATTAGCTGTGTTTTTTCAGTCTCTGCCTAAACCCAGAGGTTACTATTTCCTTCATATGTTTACCAGTTCCTCTTAAAAACCTTGTAGCTGCTTTCTGTTAAGAGATCAAAGGCCGCAGAGTGCTAATCACACACTTCAAATAATTACATCCTAATTACGAGCTGTTCACTGGTGGAAGTCGAGCGGAGATTCCTGCACTTTTGAGCAGGGAATCGCCTAAGTCACCGTTCTTAAAAAGAATGAGCGTGGATATTTGCTCGTCTCTCTGATGTCTTTGCGTTGTCCATTATCCCTCTCCCCCCCCCCCCCCCCCCCCCCCCCCCCCCCTCCCCCCCCGCACACGCACAGGACCGTCCAGCCATGCAGCTCTACCAGCCGGGCGCCCGCAACAGGAAGCGCATGAGCTCGTCCAGCAAGGGCTACGACTGCCACCCGGCGGGGATCTCCCCCGAGCGCTGTTACGAGCCCGTCGCCATGGCAACGGGGCTGGAAAGGGGTTTTGAGAAAAACAAAGGGGAACAGTGAACAGGACAGGAAGTTTTGGGGGGGGGGGGGATTTCGAAAAAAAAAGAAGATTTCCCAGCGTACGGCGGAGTCGATAGTTTGACCGGATATCCCCGAGCTTTCAAAACAGAGGAATATCCGAAACCGTAAATGATAGCTACCTTCATGTAAAATTTGTCAACATCTGGAGTTATAAAATACAGAAGCATCCATTTTGGAACAGATTCATTTGGCCGGATCATCAGTATATGAATAATAACAGAAATTATTTAAGTAGCATAAAAAGAGCACAACACCTTTTTTAGTTTGTTATCTTTTTTTTCATAGCTCAAGCACTAGCTTTATACAGAAATGAATATTTATTGAAGATGCTACCTGCTATCTTCCTTTTGAGTTCATTGTCTGCCAGTTTGATCATAATTTAGAAAAAAGACCCGTCTAGGAATTCTTTCACTTCTGGGATACACCAATACTTTCCAACTCGTCTTTCTCAGCCTTTTGTCCAGTCTGTCGAGCCTGGATGTTTCTAATCATTTGATGGGTTTCATTTTATTCAAAAGTAACATAATAGGAACTTTAAGACAACGCACGTGAAGAAGAAAAAAGTGTGTATATTTTTGGTACATCCGAATGAATGACATTAAGTTATAAGTCAAAATATTGTATTTGTGTCTTTCCTTTAGCTTGTCTCTGTCTGTAAGATGCCAGAGGGATAGAGGAAGATTATTTTGTGAGCCACTTTGTACAGGATCTGCCATGAGCCAGGAAGAACACGTTCTCTACATTTCTATAAAGCGTTTCCAAGGGAATAAAGTGTACAACCGACACCGACGGTTACTTTCCTTTATGTTCGTGTCATTGATTGTGTCTGCTAAATGCATTGTAAATGTCACAAATATACATTATGATTAAGCAACTTTAACAAGCCTTATATTGTTTTAGCATTTGATCCATGATTTTTTTTAATATCGCCCATATGTCCTTTTGTTTGGGTTCTTTTTTCCTCTGAGAATCTGAAAATAAATCCGTTCTGGTTGAACAAATTCAACTGTGTTTCGGTTATTGGGGTTGTTCCCTGAGACTTTGGGTGAGGCCCATGAGACACAGTAATAGCTTATAGATTTGAGTCAGACCCCGCTAACATAACAGCACATAAATGCAACCGTCACTTTCAGAGACGCCCTGAAGAAACAAGCTTAAAGTTCGGCTTTTCCATCTGATGAAGGTGTCGTTGTGAAACAGCCGGAAAAATTGGTGGCAGAGAAGTTATAACCCACGTGACATTTTTGAGTTATTGCTTTAAGTTCCTATTCAAACCGCTTAAGAGTTCAGTACTGGTTCAAGATAACCCAGATAAAGCAGAGCTATTGTCATCAACAGGAAGTGTGCAGCGTTATGTGTTCACAGACGGGAGAAAGTTGAAATTCTAATCTTAACTTCTCTTTAAATAATTCCATTTCATATATGTGAAAGAAGCGTGTGCTGATACATCTCCTCAAGCTTCAGTCCATGTTTAGTTGAATTTGCATATATAATATGTTATAGGTTTTGTGATGTAATTCTTCTGAATGACTTCATTTTGGTTTTCCCCCATGAGGGATGAACAATGCTTTTGCTTCGGTGTTCTATCAATGATGAAACTGCTTACGAGTGAAAGAAAAGTAAAACAAAAACCACCATAAGGTGGGACTTCCCAAGATTACATATTTGTAGCTGTTTCTCAGGACACCAGCTATATGAAGAATGTATTCTAGATTGAATGACTGTATATTAGATTTGTACTGTCATCACAATCATTTTGTTCTGTGAGAACAAAGAAGAAGATGTAAAATGCGCCAGATTAGTAAGTAAGAGCGATCATCGCCCACATGTCGCCATGTGGAGTGAGTCTCAGAAAGGGCGTTTTCAAAAGAGACGGAGGCTGCAGCCAACATGTGGCCGTTACTGCCGTTCGTAGGATGAAGGTTGTCACATGGCGCATTTCCCCTCTACTGTAACGACTTCGAACCTCATTTCCTTAACAGTCTTCCTCAGTCACAATATCTGCGCCTCCATCTGCAACCGACACTCAGATGCTTCACTTTCTTTGTCTGCCTCCGTGTTCACCAAGGTAAATTCTGGCTTTTATTTACTAAGTTTCTTAAAAATAAAAAAAAATCTGAATTATTTTTGCCCTAAGGGGACCAATAACTAATTTTTTAAAGAAACACATCGTTTTTATGTTTATAAATTTCTTTGATTTTCTGATTTACATGTACTTAATATATACCATAGACTTTTTAAAAACTATCTTGACACAAACAGAGCACACAGCGAATAAGTCGAATAAGTTGAATCCAAAGTGAATATAATGTTGTGAATGGGAATGCACGTTTTACTGGAAAATGAAGGGAAGTTGGACTGTAGTTTAATGTAGTTTATTCAGTTTTTATATTTGCTTTTCTTTTCAATATGTTGTAAAGGTAAGGGGGGTAATATCACTATATTGTTGTAGATTTTAGGGTACTGTACTTAAATTAACAATGATAGAATGATGGGACTGATTTTTGAAGTTGACATGAATTCTGGTTGTTACTACTAACAACCAGTCCACCACACAAGAGAGAAGGTTTTCAGGTGTTGCCTGTGCTAACACTCTTTATGATGATAAATGTCATACATTATGGTACAAAAAAAAAGCTTTTTGTTCGCTTGTCGGCAGCAGGTGTCATCGGGTTCTGTAATAAAAGCTAAAAGTTCCAGGTGTAAAACTAACACATCTCGTGGTAGTTGTCCTTTTTCCTGTCTGAGAACATCCACTTACACGTGTGCTCGTTCTCAAACACAAACAGTAACAAGGAAACAAGAGTGGCAGAGTATCACTTTCACACCTTTGCATATGCGTGCCACGCTTCTCACGAAATCTTTTTTTTTCTGCTGTTTTTTTTCTGCTTTTTCTGAGAATTTGCAGCATTTACAACCTAAGACGCGCATGTCCTTCCCTTTAACCGTTTCCCCTACATAAATCTCTGCAACACAGGTGACAAAAGACAGTTTCCATCCAGACATGACGGGCAACTCCAGCCAGCTTGACAACGCCACGCTGACCCTGTTCCAGAATGCGAACACCAGCATCGCCATCTCCGTCGTCTACATTATCGTCACCACCATCAACCTGACGGGAAACGGCCTCTCCATGTGGCTGCTCCTCTTCCGTACTTCTCCAAAGACTCCCTCCATCATCTTCATGATAAATCTCACTTTCACCGACATGGCTCTGGGCACCGCCTTACCCTTTCAGATTTCCTACCAGCTTAAGGGATATCATTGGACTCTTGGGCCAAAGATGTGCAGGTACGCATGAATAAAAACAATCAGTCAAATACAATCAATCAACAATCAGGGCCAGTTCCTTAGGATTAAAATACTTCTAGTTGATGGCTGTCACTACAAGCATGTCATATAATCAGTGATATTAGTTTATTCTGCATAGAAATGTCTAAGGAAGGACAACAAAAATAAGAAATAAGCATTAACCCAACACGACAGACTGTTTTTGACCACAGCTTCTCAGTATCACTGATTGTCTGGTAGGCTCACAATTGCAGATAAACTTCAGTGATGTATTAACCAAGAAATATGTATTATTTGACACAACTGATTGATTCAAGGTATCAAAAAATAAAATAAAAAGGTTAGCTGTTTTCTTAGAATGGAGCCTGGACAGTTTTTTGCTGTATTTCAAGTATTGATGCAAAGCTAACTGACCTCTGAATATACCACTGGGTATCAATGTTTTCCAAAAAGGGTTAACCAATTTTTTCCATTGTTTTCCTTATGTGTGTCCATTTACAGTTTCCTGACTCTGGTTTTCTACACCAATATGTATTGTTCCATCCTGACAATGATGGCCATCGGTATTGACCGCTACCTGGGGATCACCAAGCCCATGTTCTACAGACAAAACAAGCAGAGCAAGTCGATAGCTGTGTTCAGCTGCTTTCTGATGTGGGGCTTGGTTCTCTGCGTGCTGTACCCTCTCATGACCACAGACCTGACCTATGATGTTCCTGAACTCGGCATCACCACGTGTTTTGACGTGCTGAAGAAATCCATGCTTCCCTCCGTGTCAGCCTGGGCAGCTTTCCTTTTTAGCATGGTGTTCGTCCTCTTCCTCTTCCCCTTTTGTGTCACAACTTTTTGCTATATCAGTGTGATAAAGAACCTGGCGAAATACTCAAAGACAGCTCAGAAAAAGAGGGCGATCCGCCTGGCCTTTGTTGTTCTATTGGTGTTTGTGCTCTGCTTTGCTCCCAACAACATCCTTTTGCTGGCACACAGTGTGCTCCGGCTCTTCTTTAACAAGTCACTGTACATGGCCTACAAGCTGTCCCTTTGTTTAAGCTGCCTAAATAGCTGCCTGGATCCGTTCATTTACTACTTTGCTTCGAAGGATTTCAGACAGAAGTTGAGAGCGATTGTCAATCTGCAGAACCTGAGTAGTGCAGACTCAATGAAAATGGAAAATAAAGAGAGTCTCTACAGTGGACATTTAACTTTCGAAGGTTAGAGGGAGCAGTCAGAGAGGTGTCCTCATACCAGAGTGAAAAAAAAACTTCACAAAGGAAGTATGTGACAGGGTGTTGATGACATTTTTGGTCAACATTTCAAAATCCTGCATAAGTTGGGAAATAGCTCTTTCTGATGGCACTTCTACATTCTACATAAAATAATTTGCTCTTATGGTTTGAAAGAATGTGATACTGCCTTTTTTACTGTTTTAATATTTTAATATCTACTGCCCACCACCCATCTATTTTGTACAATATATGTAGCATGCACGAGTGTTCATTAATGTGAATAAAATGTTTTATTTGCCTGATGTGTTCACTCAACCCAATTATTATGTTTTCCTTTTAACTACTGTTGTCTTTATCTCTGTATTCTTGCATGCTAGTGAAAATGTCTCTCTTCTCTACTTATATATGAATGGAAAAGTTGACAATGTAGTCTTTATATAGTGATTTAATGTAAAAAAAACATTTTTTTCCTGTGTAATATCCTTCATTTCAGCCTTTCAATGGTATTAGCCATTCTCATTATAATTATTATTACCATTATTGTTGTCAATATTGCTGCAGTTGTCACACACATCGACATACACTATATTGCCAAAAGTATTTGCTCACCTGCCTTGACTCACATATGAGCTTAAGTGACATCCCGTTCCTAATCCATAGGGTTCAATATGACGTCGGTCCACCCTTTGCAGCTAGAACAGCTTCAACTCTTCTGGGAAGGCTGTCCACAAGGTTTAGGAGTGTGTTTATGGGAATTTTTGACCATTCTTCCAGAAGCGCATTTGTGAGGTCGCACACTGATGTTGGACGAGAAGGCCTGGCTCTCAGTCTCCGCTCTAATTCATCCCAAAGGTGTTCTATCGGGTTGAGGTCAGGACTCTGTGCAGGCCAGTCAAGTTCATCCACACCAGACTCTGTCATCCATGTCTTTATGGACCTTGCTTTGTGCACTGGTGCACAGTCATGTTGGAAGAGGAAGGGGCCAGCTCCAAACTGTTCCCACAAAGTTGGGAGCATGGAATTGTCCAAAATGTCTTGGTATGCTGAAGCATTCAGAGTTCCTTTCACTGGAACTAAGGGGCCAAGCCCAGCTCCTGAAAAACAACCCCACACCATAATCCCCCCTCCACCAAACTTTACACTTGGCACAATGCAGTCAGACAAGTACCGTTCTCCTGGCAACCGCCAAACCCAGACCCGTCCATCAGATTGCCAGATGGAGAAGCGCGATTTGTCACTCCAGAGAACGCGTCTCCACTGCTCTAGAGTCCAGTGGCGGCGTGCTTTACACCACCGCATCCGACGCTTTGCATTGCACTTGGTGATGTATGGCTTGGATGCAGCTGCTCGACCATGGAAACCCATTCCATGAAGCTCTCTGCGCACTGTTCTTGAGCTAATCTGAAGGCCACATGAAGTTTGGAGGTCTGTAGTGATTGACTCTGCAGAAAGTTGGCGACCTCTTCGCACTATGCGCGTCAGCATCCGCTGACCCCGCTCCGTCAGTTTACGTGGCCTACCACTTCGTGGCTGAGTTGCTGTCGTTCCCAAACACTTCCATTTTCTTATAATACAGCTGACAGTTGACTGTGGAATATTTAGGAGCGAGGAAATTTCACGACTGGATTTGTTGCACAGGTGGCATCCTATCACAGTTCCACGCTGGAATTCACTGAGCTCCTGAGAGCGACCCATTCTTTCACAAATGTTTGTAAAAACAGTCTGCATGCCTAGGTGCTTGAATTTATACACCTGTGGCCATGGAAGTGATTGGAACACCTGATTCCGATAATTTGGATGGGTGAGCAAATACTTTTGGCAATATAGTGTATATAAGTAGACCCCGCATCGAGGCCTGACTCGTACGTCAACGTCGCCGCCATCTTGGATGTGGCAAAGTGGAGAATCAGAGTCTGCGATCACATTTCAGTTACACAGTTCTGAATCGACAACCACTATTTTGTCCTGATTTAATTATTTGCGTCTGTTTTCCACAAACTGAGGCTGCAATTGTATGGCTGTATAGCTATGAAAACGACTAATCAAAATCAGGTAAATGTAAACGTTTGCGCTCTATATTCAGAAAACCTTCATGTCACATCTACTTTTCAGGATCTGGTAATTATAGACACAGTTTACATGTTAAATTTAAACATTTATATTACAGTACCAGTGTTATATGCATTAGCATCTGAAAACACTCAGCATTAGAAAAGTACATCCGCTCGGTTTGGTGCTTGCTTATATCCGTAACATTGCAAGTAAACATAGATAATCATCACTATAAAAGTTACATACGTTTTTTTGGTGCCTATTTGTTTTCCCAGATATATTAGTGTGTGTGAGTGGGTGAATAAGGTGCATAAACTTAAAGCACGTTGTAAAAAAGGTGTTTTATGAAGTTCATTCCCTTTACTTTTATTAGTTTAAGGGTAACTCTGCCACATCCAATATGGCGGACGCAATACGCGCGTATAGCTGCAACGGACCAACCTGCTCAATGCGGAGAGTATCTGTGTATGTCTGTGGTCACACAAGTTCCTGTTCCGGTATAGGTCGACACCTCCTATTGGATCCGCCTCGTATGTTACGTCATCACGCAAGTGCCGCCAAGCGAGTCGTCCTAGCAAACTGCTGCTTCTGCCAGTGCGACGTTACTTGTGGTGGTAAGAGTTAGACTATTGAAATTAGCTAGTTTTATATATATTTTTTTCCTTCCAACGGCTCCTTATCTACTAAACTGAGACATCATTGCCGTAAGCTTACAAAGCAAACATTTTTCATCACATACGTAACTTATTGTTGCTAATTTAGCTTGTATGCTTCTAAACTACTTGCAATTCCTAATGTAGACGTTTATGGTGTTATTTGTTTTGCTTATAAAGATTTTTTTTTTACGTTAGGAGCCGCACAGCAATTTAAACTGTGCATACTCCGTGTCTCCTAAAAGCTATATATTTTTTGGGGGGGATAAATGTCAACCTTCCTTTAGTTAGTTCATTGTTTACTTTGATTTCATTATGTTTGATTTAGAATTGGAGGTCCAGGGCTTCCAGTAATGATCACTGAGATAGATTTACTGGACTCAAAAATAGGACATGAGTCCAAAGTGACTGTTACACTTATTGACTTATTGAAAACTATTCTTGTGTTGTCTTGATTTCACTGACAAACTGATCAATTAAATAGCCAAGTGTGCCATGGATTTGACTTGACAGCTTTTTAGCTTTGCTTGAACTAGGAAATGTTTTACCTTCTAATTGCTTTTCGCTCTTGCAAAACTGCAAAAACTGCCATATCTCTAATGTTTAACTCCGCTCACTTGCAGGACGGGCGCACACGAAGGCCACCATGGTGCTGAACCCAGTGATTTCCAAGCTTGCTGGCAAACTGGTTGTGCTGGCGAGTTCCTCTCCCAGAAGGCTGGAGATACTCCGCAATGCGGTAACCGTTCTTGTGTTATTAAGCTCATAGAACGTACAGCTTTATTAAGATTTAGTACAACATTCGCACAGAATAATGCATTGGATAAACAGATGAGTGTAAAAATGAATTGCTCACTAACTCCATTCGTGGCCTATGACTGCTCTTTTGGACAATATAAGCACTAGTTGCCAGCTGTACTTTTGTGTTCATTACCGATAATCAGGCTTCACATTAGTAAAGTAATGCGTCTGTTCACTAAATGGGTTAATTGCACTTTCAAGAACAAAGCACGATTAACTTGGCAATATTAACCCACCATGGTCATTCTGATTACCATTAATGTTTAAATGAGTTAGAACAGACTGGTTCACATTTGGAAGAACACTGACACACAAAACCCAGAAATAAAGACCCTTTGGTACTGTTGTGCTGTTAACTGATGTGTGGACTTTGTTTGTTCACACCGACAAGAACGTGTGTCATTTTTTAATCAATGTTTCCTTGATTCGATGACCTGTAATTGATCTGACCATGTCGTCCTATGAGGAAGTGTTTGACTTTTGCTTTGTGCTGTCCTTCATGCCAGGGCTTGCGATTTGAGGTTGTTCCATCTTGGTTTAAAGAAACTCTCGATAAAGGACTTTTTAAAGCCCCTCATGAGTATGCGGTTGAGACAGCCAAGCAGAAGGCCCTTGAGGTTGCCCGGAGGATGCCACTTGTGAGTTTGTTTGTTTTTTTCTTAATTTTTTTCATTTTATTTGGATGTGACACATTATCAGAGTGAGATTTCACTTGTTTTGACGTAGAAACACCTGAAGACTCCAGACATGGTGATCGGTGCAGACACCATTGTGGTAAGATGAAGAAAACGCAGAATTTGCTCACTTCCTGCTGTGTAATGGTTTTTTGGCCTTTACCTTTGATCCCTCTGCGTGTGATTTGTCGTTTTTTATTCAGAGTGTGGACGGCATGATTCTTGAGAAGCCAGTGGACAAACAAGACGCTTACAGGATGCTGTCGAGGTCTGTGTGATGTGCCACGTCGCACGTTTGACATCCAAAGCGGAAGGGTGGTGTTGACGCTCTCACTCTTACTTTTCTCTCCCAGTCTAAGCGGTAAAGAACACAGCGTATTTACTGGAGTGGCTATTGTCCTGTGCCACGAAGAAGAAAGTAAGTCACAGCACCATTTTTGAGTTGTCACAAGTCTTATAAGGGTTTTTGAAAAGAAAACAAAAAAAGCACACAGTCAAGAATACTCTAAAGTAGAAATGTTTCAAATGCATGCATGGAATAGTAAGATTCCATTAATCTATAAGCCTGCCTGACCCTCTCCCCAGACCAAGTCGATTACCAGTTGATAGACTTCTATGAAGAAACAAAGGTAAAGTTTGCTGACCTCTCGGAAGACATGCTGTGGGAGTACATCAATAGCGGTGAACCCATGTGAGTGTGAGAATGTGACCTTCCGCATTCATTATTTAAAAGCTATCGATCGCTCCCTGTCGGGTGACCTCAATGAAGGCCGTTACCTTTTGGACTTTCATGCTGGAAGCTTTTCCCCCATTGGCCCGTGTTTGCTTTGGCCTGATTTGGCACAGATTGTGTGAGCACACATTACGGAAAAAAGCCGGAGTGAAGTCGTTAACCGTTCTCACAAACCAAGTCCCGGGTTTTTGCTGAATCGTTTAAATGAAAGTTGTTTGTTTCTGTGCATTCCAGGGACAAGGCCGGCGGCTACGGGATTCAAGCCCTAGGCGGCATGCTGGTGGAGAGCGTCCGCGGCGACTTTCTCAACGTCGTCGGGTTCCCCCTCAACCACTTCTGCCGGCAGCTGGACGCGATCTACAACCACAGCTCGTCTCTCTCCAAAGAGAGCAAAGACGACGCCGTTTACTTGATCCGCAACTTCGCCGACGGCGCCTCAGAACTCACACAATCCGCCCACAGCAGTGAGGCCAAACACAGCTCCTCTCCCACCCCCAAATGCAACAGCGGCTCCACCAGTCCGGCCCATAAGGTGTGTTTAGCAGCATCTATGAAAAAAAATTACCTTTTTTTTGCCCTTTTTAAATAGCATACAATGTGCTTTTTCATAGGTGAAAAGGACGGGCGAGGGGAGTGAACCTAAGCATCGCGGCACAGAGGCAGAGCTCCACGACTCTCAGTGTACAAAGTCACTGATCAGGAACGGGGAGCAGGTCACTGAGCCCAAGAAAGAGGATTTGGAGCGAGTCTGTGACCTGCTGGACGGATTCAAAGCATCAAAGGTAGTAACACGTGATTTTCAGGATGACCTCCTGCAGTAATCGGAGCAGCTATCGGAACGCGGGGACTTTTTTCTGCTTTCATTTGCACAAGTAATCACGTAAAATAAAGTTGTGGTTGTGGGCTATGTGCTGCACCGCTTCCTGCACAGGTGCAGAGCTCTGCAGTGTCTGGTTGCCAGGAATCCTCACACTGAACACAAACTCCAGAGATACAATAAGTCAGATGAGATCTGTTTTTTTCTGTGGCACAGACTTTATGCCACGGTGATGTAATGGACGTAAGACTGCAATCTCACCCCGATTTGTATTTTTGTTCTATTTAGAGTCCAGTTTCGCTCTCGCTCACTCAGATCTGCACACGTGTGAATTTTACTTTCACAGTGACAGTGACAAGTAAAGGAATGACGTCTTTATCCCCCCAATCTTAAAGACTTTAGTGAAAATCTGCTTGGAAAAAAAGTTAAAACTATATTCTATGGTTTGGATTGCATTGATTTTCTGAGTTAAATTTCAAAGCAACATCTTCAATTTTTTTCTTTCCTAAGATTTTGAACAGTTGTTTTTGGAATATCCATTTTGGACTTTAGTGGGCAGAAATGAACCAGATCCTGGTCTATTTTATGAGTTTTCCACGCATTTCTTACCATCGAGTACACACCAGAACCTCCGATGACCATCCCAGCATAACTTTGGTCTTCCACCTTCCAGGCACTGTTTACAGCTTCCAAACTGCGCGTGTTTGACCTGCTGCACGACAAGCCTGGGCTGGACGCCGCGCAGGTGGCCCAGCAGGTCAAGGCTTCAGTGAAGGGAACCGAGTGCCTGCTGGAGGCCTGTGCGTCTTTGGGACTGCTGAGGACCAAAAAGAAGCGTGAGTTCATCCGTCGGGCTTTCAGAATGACCCACTCCGAATACATTTACACATCGGGTCAACATATTCTCTGATGCTTTTCGCCGCTAGGCTCTCCCAAGCCCGCGTACGAGAACACCGACCTGGCCACGAGCCTGTTGGTTTCCGATGCTCCTTTCTCGCTGCACGGATACATCCAGCACTGTAACGACACGCTGTGGCCCCTCTACTCACACACCGAGAGCGCGGTGAGGGAGGGAGCCAGCCAACGGGAAAGAGCCAAGCAGTCAGCGGCCGTCTGCCAGGTGCTCGGACGTCCGATATGTGCTGTTAGAGCTAAGCTCGGGGAAAATAATTCACTCATTCTCCTTTTTTTTCTTTCATTTTCTGTCCTCAGGGCAAAGACGCAGGCGGTAACAGTGAAGAAGTCCGACTTCGGTTTCTGGATGGGATGCATAGCTACTCCAAAGTCACTGCGGCAACCGTCGCCACGGCCTTTGACTTGTCCAGTTTTAAAACGGCCTGCGACCTCGGAGGTGAGGATCCTAACGTTTTTTTTTTTATAATAAAATAATAAAAAGATAAAAAGAAATCAACTCTTATTTGTGTTTTTTTCTTTTAGGATGCACCGGTGCCATGGCCTACGCGCTCACCAAAGCTCATCCTGGATTGTCGGTAACCGTCTTTGACCTGCCCGCTGTTGTGGAGCTGAGGGAGCGTTTCCTCCATCCGAGCGACCAGGACAGCAGCGTGGCATTCGTGGCAGGTCAGCCATCAGGATTCATCTACGCTAGACGACGGTTATACCTGTCTGTTTTAGACATTGTCATTCAGTAAGTTTCAAGCGTGACTCCTTTGCTGTATCAACAGGAGACTTCTTCAAAGATGAACTGCCCAAAGCGGACTTGTACATCCTTGCAAGGGTTCTTCACGATTTAACGGAAGGCAAACTCCACTCTCTTCTGAGTAGAATTGCAGATTCTTGTACACCAGGTAGGATCTTTTTTCTTTTTTTTTTACCACGTGTCTTGCCTGAACCTCAAATTCTAAAACAATGTCATGTAACATGGCAGTTGCATCGAGTCGGTGCAGGGGTTTATTACGATATGATTTTAGCTGATTGTATTGATTAATCCATCTTATAGGGAAACAAATTCACCCATAAACAGATGGTTTCAGTGAGCTGCTTTAGCCTTTATGAGAGCTGCTGCCTCGTATTACTATCTCCTGTTTTAAATTGAGAGTAAAGTTTTAAAAAACAATGAAGCCAATTGTACAACAGTTCTATGCAAGAAACAAGCTAGTTCGTAACCAAGCCAAAACGTCTCAGAGTTCTTTATTATTAGCCTGCAGCAAGGCGAGAAAGTGTAAAGACCTCCTCTCGTCGTAAAAGCTCTTGGCCTCATGTACTTTTCGCCGGCAGGCTGCGGACTCCTGCTGAGCGAGATCTTCCTGGAGGAAGACAGAAGCGGGCCGAGCCGCGGGCTGCTGCAGGCCCTCAGCCTGAGCCAGGTGAGACAGAGGAGCGCGGCGGAGTACAGTCTGCTTCTGAAGGGCCACGGTTTCCTCACCACACAAGTCAAACGCACAAACAACCTCCTGGACGCCATGCTCTGTGTCAAAGCATGACCCGATGACAGCTTTAACAACTCTACACGGAAGCTCTTGTAATATACTTTGTACTGTATGCTGTGGATAACTATCAGAAAGATGAAAGATTGAAAGAAGGAGACTTTTTTGGTAGAAGAGCCAAACTAACTCTGCATTTACGAACAGACAATGTCACACCTTGATTATGCTTCATCTTTTTAAAATAAAGTTTAATCGTTTACCAATCTTTTTTTATTGTTTTATTTGTCTTATCTGTGGAGGAAGAAGTATTCACTTAAAAAGTGTTGCACTATCATTCAAGTGCATAAATACAGATATCAACAAGCTCTTTGAGAGTTTGAAAACACTACATGTGTTACTCAAGCACGGTCAGATGCTCTAAGAAGACCAGTGCTATTTTCTTAAAGGCAGACTGAACAGCTAGTGATACAACAACTTAATGGAATAAGTTGACGTTTTTTAAGAATAATTCAAAAAAATAAAATGCCTCCAAATAACATGTTCAATAGAAAAATGTCATGTTTTGGTATTATTTCTCCTGCCCATTAAATTTGAACAGCATTTTTGAATGAATGAATATCCTCATGACAGAACGGGAACATTAACCAAGAATTATTTGTCAATTCTTTTTGCAGCAGGATAAGAAAATAAAGCTGAAAAAATATAAGCGAATTCATATGGAGCCTCATTATTTCCACACATAATTAGACAGGATTTCCTTAATGTTTTGATTTTAAGCGACAGCCTCATTTCATTGGTGAGTAACTTGTCATCAATCTTTGGGGAATGGCCGGTCTCAGGGACGAACGGCTCCCACACCTGCATCTCAGAAAGTGACCATCCCAGTCCCCTGTGTCTGTATTAAACCTCTACCACGCCCCATTGTGCTTTTAAGATAAAGAGTTTCCATGATCTTAATCAACGATTGAGGCAATAGTTTCCTATCCTCTTGGCTTCTGTTGAGTTTAAATTCTTTCCTAATTTTTTTAACATCTCACATTCCTCCTGGTTTACCTGGTATACAAAAATCCATACATGTAATTCAATATTATTTCAGTAATTCAATATTGTCAGGAGGATCTTTTTCCTCCTTTGAGTTGAATACAAGTCATACTCGATGACTTCAAATTGTGTACCTTCCACACTTTGGGCTTGAAAATGGACATTTAAGCCTAGCTGTCCCGGACTGTTCGGCGTAAGGAAGTTATTCGAAAAGAGTGGTCAGCTACATTGTGGTCAACTGTGGCTGGAATGGGTTGTTTTATGGTGTGATGCAAGTGCGGCTAGACGGTTAAAGTAATGTGGTTTCATCAAATATAGATGTCGTCTCAGAAGGGGCTGCTTGATCATAGTGTTTTTAACAGGATTATCACATAATTTATCTTCCGAGGCTGTTTCTCTGCCCACGACCGTGTCTTATCCTTCATAAATAGAGCAGCGATATTTGATATCTCTCACATTTAAACCTGGTTTTTATGATCAACTTGAGTGTTGTGTTTGTAAGTCTCCTCAAGATGGCATCAAAAACCTGCACAGTTCTCTCAGAAACCCTGAGAAAAGCACCCAGAGGAACGCGGTTCAGCCCTGACGCGTCTCCCAGAGATCAAGTGCACGTCAAAAAAACGCAAACTGTCAGAATCTAGGCTGATGTGGCCAGGTTTGAGTTAATGTGTGATTCATACAACGGATTCTCTTAATGCGTAGAAGCAACCCTTAATTCCTTACAGATATAGCTCTTGGATTTTTGGTTTTGAGGCAATGGCCGGGGCAGCCAAATAGCTGCAGTGGAATGCGGGAATATGTTTGGCCTTGATAGATAGATAGTGTATGTGGATTACTTTTCATTTTAGATCCTTCTCTCTAAGTATTTTTCAAAAAATGATAATAAGCGTGGTCAGTGTTATTCATGGCTATTTTCTTGTCAGTCCGGGTTCAGGCTCCTTGCGACATCTAATTGATTTCCATTACTCATATTCTTTTCCCGTGGATAGAGAAAGACACGAGGATGGCTGTAGTTCAAAGACTTTACCAATTGTTAAATACACAATCTTTTTTCTTTCTTTTTTCTTAATCAGAACATACAATAATTGCAACACATTCCTAGCAACTTTGTAGGACCTGGACCGATCCAGTTATTGGGAAAGTATCACTCTGACGGATAAAAAGTTGCGCAAAGAGAATTTCACGCTTGTGAAATCATGACAAACAATCCCGGGAAATCAAAGCCCGGAGAAGTCGGAGTTTGCAGAGTATCCCCTCTGCAAAACTATGAAGAACGTATCTACGACCGTCAAGAAACTATTTGCATATTTGTCCACTTTCCGCTCAACCTCAGATGCCACTGACTCTGTGTACCAGCACCAACGGCAGACGCTCTAATGAAAACCATTCAAGTCAATCAAGTTTAGCGGAGACCAAAGGCCGGCGTAATTTCGGAAAATTGCTGAAACTCCGAGGTAATCTTCTGTAATGTGATCCCCGCCAAATTGAACACTGGCTGTACTGTACGTGTCGGATAAGGGCTCAGTCATTTTCTTCAAATGCAGCCTTGACAAGCAGCATGAATATCCACCTGCAAGTAATCATCATTCTAGTGTTAAGTGCTTTGATATTAAAATGACTGATTTAAGACCATTTGCTGCTAGTAGATAGCGACTGGAAAGCACTTCCACATGTTGATAAAGCGGATAAGCTGGGTTTGGGAACCGCTACATGCCGTGTTTTTCTGCTGTGTAGCAGCCAGTGAAAGCACATTGCAGTCTTGATTTCGGGTTATCTCACTCCGGAGAGAGCGAACTTTACATTGATCAAGGGGTGATGTCATTGATGTGTCTGGGCAGAGTTTCATTAGATCCAGTAGATTAATTTGTAAATGCAAATTTGGGCACGACTTGAGTCTCAGGCAACTCGCATAGTAGCCACTTGGGGGCAACGTAAGCTAAAGAAAACACCAGAACGAATGGACTGTATCGAGTTAAAATGTTTGTGGGTGCGTTTACAGGCTGACAGTTTCATCCTTGTGATATTCGGTATTTGCAAATGCCCATGTCAAACCTTCGCGATCTTAGCTGGAAAACAAAAACAAAAAAAAACAAAAAAAACACGGCATCATAGTTTATACCAGAGGCCTCTCTGTTGCTTTGGGATAGACACACCGAATCCAAATGGTTGCATGCAGAATAACAAACATCCTCTAATCAGTCGGTTTTTCTGAATTGCCTCTAAAAAAACCGAACTCATGCTCGGGCACCTGTTTCAAAGAACGGGCTTGTTTTTCAAAGTCCTCCACTGTCAACAAACAGAATAAACGCAATGATGGCTGGCTCCTCAGCCCACATCTGATTTCAGCAAATGTGCAATTGTTCAAAGTGAGTTGTGCTTCATTGATTTCTTTCAAGGCAGAGGAAAAATAACCTGAGGGCTTCTACCAGTTAGAAATAACAATGGAGTCCTTCTCTGCTGTTTGCAGCTTTGTTGGCCTGACATCAGGGCTACAAGATGGAGGGATTTTCACAATGGATTTAACAACTACTGACTGTGTAAAAGAGGTCCTTATTATCAGAAAATAGTCCTTTTTGAGTAGAAATCAGATTTACGGATTCATCTTTCACTGTAAAGTTTGATATAGGTTTTCTTGGAATTTCTTTTTTCTCTTTGTTTTTCAAAACCTTTTTTATTTTATTATGAGTGTACAGAAAGAACCAGACAGTGACAACGTATTTAGCTTTTCTTAGCATCAAGCACAGAAGCAAAAGAAAGTAATCAGCCTATAGCACTCACAAAGTTCACAAATATCACACTGTCTCTTGTTTCCTCCTCATTAAACAAGCAGAAAGACTGAATACAAACTCTAATTTGCCATTTTACAGTGTAAAGCGCTTGATGCTAAAGCAGAGGTGTGCTGGTGTTGCCCACACAAACGACATCAGTTACGTGAAAAGTGAAGTAAAGACAAACGGAAACGCGGAACACTGTGTTGTCGTGTGTGTCGGACGTCCTGGTTATCCCATAACTTGCGAACCTTTTGCCAGAAGCGTGCCTTTTGCTTAGCCAAAAAAGGCCCACTTTGTTTTCTTCCATGTTTCGAACAGAGTTTAATCAAAAGTTGAAAATTGCGTTGTCTGGGTTTTAATTCCAGAGAAAAGAAAATGACTATCAAAGTGAAATATGTGGGTTGGCAGACAAGACACCAACTATCAACTAAGATAACACAAGTATAGACAGGTTGGGAGGTAAAATAGAACAGAAACAGCACTTATTGTGTCACAAAGGGGAAATTGAGGTGTGCATTCTCCCTTAGCCAGGCCTTGGACCACATGATACTGCATTCTCAGTTTTAGTTCTATATTCTTGTTAGTGCTCCAAGGTCTACCACTTCTTTTGACAGTCATTTCACAATTTTTTATCATATTCAAGGAATATTAAAGGAGTATGTGAGTAAAGTTTTGTTGTTTAGCTGTTACGCTGCTTTTGATCTCGTCCCACAAAGGCCCGCGACTAAAAGTGCTGCGCCTCATTGTGGGACCTTCTTAAATTTGGGGGCTTTGTGGTTTCTTGAATTCGAGAGCGTATCGCTTTGATGTGGAAACGCTCGTACGAGTCGACTTTTCGGCTCGGTGCATGTAGAGTACGTACCCCCAAACGAGATCGTGATATGAGTCATGTTGAAGAGTGAGAAAAGTGGCCAATATGGGCTTTTGCGCTGGTTGACACCTGAGTAATTGGGGTATTGTTCCATGCATTGGTTGAATCTTGTCCAGCTGATATTTAGGCAACTTTAACAATGAATGACGATAGAAACCATACCAAAAAAAATTAAAATTGAACCGATTAATCAGGGTTATTAAAATGATTAGTCTGCTTTTCATGGAAAATGCTTGATATAAAATGAAAGAAAATGCTAAAAGATTTATTAAAAGCAGCTGGCAACAGTGCAGCACCCTTTTATTTAATAATGACATGTTAAAATAAGATCACTAATTAGAATTTTTTGTCCTAAACATTTGTGCAAACAAGAAAATGTCACAGCAAACAAGCAGTTCTGATAGCCTTCTGCAAAAAAACAAAAAAAACACAACGGCATTCTTCAGCTACATATGGAAATATGTGTTGTGGTCAAATAAGCGAGCATGCTTCCCCTTTCTGTCTCCATTCGATGTGAGAGGTGTCACTCAGTGATACAATAGGGGAGGCAACTCTGAGCTGAAATGACTGGTGACAGAGCTTTCGTTTGACTCACTGAGGGCCCTTTGTTGTTATTTTGGGTTCTCTCATGTGTGCAGTCTGAACGAGCAGACAACAGACTGGGTCTCATTCTTGCACGTGAACACTAATGAACAACTGCATTTATTTTAAACAAAAAGAATTGATAACGCTCTCACTGTCGTGACAAGCATTGACAAATTTTCTGTTTGTGGAAAAAATGCAAATGCCTGTCATTAAGACACGAGTTGAATCATTCAACGCAGAGCCAATTTGTGTTCCGGTTGCTCATTTGATGTGTGTGCAGACACACTTCTACACAGGCAAAAAGTGTTACAAGCACAATAAACTAACAATAAATGATTAACTGTTTTTGAGACGAACAATAAAAGTATCTCACATCTGTGCTTGAGCATAATGCTTAAGCAAATATGCTGTCACTGACAAAACAGGGGGTTGTAGTTGTAA